GCGGAAGTCACGGTTGCTTTCTAGTGCCTTTTATTTTAGTTCCTCCTTATTTCCAGCTGCTGATGTAATATGCTAAGTAGTAATTGATTACTTCTGGTTAACTTGTATGCATATTTAAATCTTACGAAGGAATACTGATTGTATTTAGGCAGGGTATAAATTTTTTTGGCTGTTGTCTGACAAGTTAGTATTTACCCTTAAATGAATCTTGGTGATTCAGAAATGCAGGTTCTGCTGTTGCTCTGAAGGTGACGTTTAAAGTAGTATCCTCGGAGATGAAAGCAAGAGTGTTTTCAAAGGTTTTTGGTTTTAGCTGACTGATTTCTCCGTGCTTTGATGCTGAGAGAAGGGAGTAAAAGGAGACGAAGAATTGACTTGTTAATGAATGTCTTTGCATCACCTCATTATGCAAACTTGCAAGTGATAAAGTTTGGATGTCTGTCTTCAGATCTGGGGAATGTTTTCTGGGGTCATGGCTAGTGTAGCCACATTCTAAAAGCCAATGGGGTTATAAAAACATTTAGAAATTATAGTGAGCTGCACCATGTGGATGTGTGTACCAGAAAATACCTGTTCCTTACTTTTGGCTTCCTGTAAAATCAAATGTGAAAAATACTCTTAGAGGCACCTTTTTAATGCCTGGAACCTGGAATTCACTTAACTAACACTCAGTTAATGTTTCTGTTGAAATGGTGAAGGTGAAATGTAGGAAAAAAAAAAGTAGGCTAACTTTTTTTTTGGAAGTTGATTTTGACTTTCTGGGACTGAAACAGCATGCTATTCTTTGCCGATCAGGTACATAGTTCAATAGTGTGCTCATCACTGCAATTATCTTGCAAAATAAACTTTATATTTATTCTACTTCAAATGCTGAGGTGCTGATCAAGGACTGAATATAGGTCTTTGTATTGAATAGGAGTTACGCATTTATATGGTCATATCTGCCTATTTGTGTATTCTTCTGACTACTCAAGGGTGAAAACCTAAAAAATAATTTTTGCGAGGGGTCTTTAACTTCATTAATAAAATGATCTCATGCATTCTGTTGTCTTTTTTCTTTTTTGAAGAAAGAAATGCATAAAGAACTATGCACATATTCACTGTTACTACTGATCAAAATATGATCTTATCTCCAAGCAAATATTTAAAATTCATTGTTGCAAACACTCCGCAGGTTAGTACCCAGGAGAAACTGTATGCTGAGAATATCAACATCTTAAGGAAAGAGAGGACGTGTTTCATGAGGAAAGTCATATGACTCAAGCAGCAAGAAACTACTCCAAACACCATATTAGTCAAAAAGGACAAATACAAAGAGGGAGAACTGGGAGGACAGTTCTGGGGGCAACTTCTTGGAGATCGTGTGCACAGGCACATATTGCCACAACCTGAGTGGTGCAGGAGCTTGAACGATTCAAACGAGGAGAGTCTGACCCTTAAGAGGAACCAGGTTGCTACCTTCTAGAAATTTTATTTCAATTTCCTGGGTGAGGGAAGCAGGGAAATGTCAGTAAAATAAGCTTAAATTTTCATCATTAGTGTTTAATTTGTCTCTGGTACTGCAGTTTTACAAAAAAAAAATCAGTCTCTTAAATTTTATTTATTGATCAGCTTGTGTAGTGTAGCTTTAAGCATTGCAGGACATTTTAAAATCAGTCTGTGGTTGTAATCAGGTCAGGAGAAGAGAAGTTGAGATTTGTCATGAAAAGTGATCCTACAGAACAATAAGTCTAACTTGTTTCTTTTAGCCACTTAAAAAATAAATTCTCTCTGGCTTAATTAGCAGTATGATTGCATTCAGTATGATTCCATTCAAACTTTGTACTTACTGGTGTTCTGTGTTGATTGCTTCTTTGCATTTAAAAATACCATTGTTTCCTGTTTTGATTAGTGTTTTTCTTAACATCTTCATTGATAAGTTTACCTGTTCCTGCCAATCTTTAGAACGAACGCAGTCAAGAGCTTCAGCTGGCTTGGACTTGTATGTCAGCAGAATGGTTTATTATCTTCCGATATTGGGGATTTCTTGTTGCTGGTGATGGGTGAGCCTGAAAAAATACAGCTTGACTTGCACATCACAGGGTGAGTTCTCTGAAAACACTTGCTAAAATAGTTATCTTTAAAGTGTTTGGGTTTTTTTAAGAACTGGGTTGTATTTTAGATCTGACCATCTGGGTTTTTTTCTCAAAATATACACTTATTCAATATCTCTTATAGAATCCAGAGAGCTGTCAGGTTTCTTACAGTTTGGAGTGAACTGGTGTAATCCTAAATGATATATCAGGTTGCTCAGGGCCTTGATTTTAACTTGAGAGGTTGATCCCGCTTGAGCAGGGGATTGGACTACCTGAGATCCCTCCCAACCTAAATTATTGTATGATAAATGATTCCATAAGCAGTTTTGTATGGAAAAAAAATATGGGAACAAACCATAAACTTTTCCCGTTTTTTGTTTTTTTTTTTCCCTGCATAATACCTCAACTTGGTGATAAGTGAAGGGACGTGTTGCAAGTATGGGAATTACAATGGTATTGAACTAGCATCTTCTGTTATGTTCCTGCAGCTCCTCTTTAGCCCACTGTCCTGAAGACAAGAGGTTCTGGCTGATCAGGAGTCTCTATTAGCAATTCAAGTTGGCTGGAGAATGGAAGGTGTTGAGTTTAAGGAAGAATGGCAAGATGAAGATTTTCCAAGGTTTTTATTTTTTTTAAGTAATTCAAATCAAATGCATAACATCCAGAATAAGCTACCTCTTTATCTTCCTGGTGACCTAACGCTCAATAATAATCTTGAAGTGATTTCCATTAATGTAGTAGTCTTGAAAAGGGTTTGTGGCACGTTTCTTCATGGTCTGGAAAGGGATCACTTCATGTTCGTGTGTAAGTAATAGAGGAATGCCACTGTTGAAGTTTCCAATGTTAACTAAAGTGAAAATTTGTAAGTTTGGCTTTGTTTTCTGTGGTAATCTTTTGCAACTACATTGTTTGCGTATTATTACCAATGTCTGAAGACCCAAATATTTCATTAAGCAACATTTCTGAGGAAAATTTTTAACAGTTAAGACTGCTAGTGATGCTTGGGCCTACAAAGAAACTAAAACAGCTGGCTTCAGAGGTATTCTGTAATAACATGACTAAACTACTTCTGTAATGTATTTAATGTCAAATTTTCTCAAGCGAAAATACGACAGTTTTCTTAAGGATGACACTAATAGCAACCAGTATTTTGGCATTTGTCACATCAACAGATGGTCGCTTGAATGCTGTAAAGGAATTTTCTGCTACTTTGGTGCTTTGTTTACTGAAAGCTTGAACTTAGGCTACAAGTAAATTTATTTCAGTACTATCCCACAGTGGTTTTTGTTAGCAGTGTGTATCTAAATATTTGGCATTTAGCTGGCTATTTAAAAAAAAAAGTTTTGTAACAATAGTTTCTACTTTGTGCACCAGGCCCCTGCCAGAGGATGATCCTGTTGAGGCAGATATATTGGCTGCAGCTGGAATGGAAAGTGAAGCTGGTAAGAACATTCTACTCCAGTCAAGCTGACTGCTTCCTGCTTAGATGGCTGTTTGAAAGCTCTATTTTGTTTTGGGGGAGGGGGGGAGGGGGTTGGTGGGGTTGGGTTTTTTTGAGTCAGGCTTGAGGAAACAGCATTGTAAATAACATTTCTGTATGTGAAGGGTATTAATAAACACCTTGTCTAGAAAGAAAAGGGTTTTGGAATAAAATATGAGACTCTTCATCCTCCCTGTGAACAGAGCTATCCAGGTAATACTGGACAAAAATGAATTATTGCACTCACTTCCTGACCTATCTTAAAATCTTGGTTCATTATTTGGCTTCTGTGCATCAGTTAGGGCCTACCTTAGTTTCGCTCCAAATTTCAGACCTTTGTGGCCTTTTAAGAACGTTGCCTGTCCAAATGGTCAGAGGGGAAATAATGCAGATGTTTGGGGTTTTTTTTTTACATTTTTAAATTTTTTGGATTTTGTCTGTCTGCTTTAGTTGTGGCATTTCCACTGCTGGATCAGTCATTTTATTTTATTCCCTGCTTTCAACTGCTGTCTAAATCATGCAAGTACTTGCCTTGTCTCTCAAAGCAAGCTGTGTATTCACCTAATAGTTTCTTTGATATTCTGTCCTCACCGTTGTCTGTCAGCCTTCTTTTTTTTGCAGCTTGTATATTTTTTGTTTCATCAAAAATGGTTATGATGTTACCAATAGCTAACAAAAGCAAGGGCGAGGGACATGAATCTATTGTTATTTGCAAGACTTATTTAGTATAATACCTAGAACAACTCGTGGTACACTTTAATACAGCTAGCACGGGTAATAGTTGCTTAGGTGGTGGCAGCACTTCAGGTTTTTCTTCTGTAGGGAGTATGGTGGTCTACCACTGTGATCATAATGTGTATGCAATCGGGTAAACTTAGTCTTGAGGACTTGAGAACTTTGACCTCCAAGTGCTGTTCTTTTCACCCTGTGTTTAATTCTTCCAAAGATACATAGTTTGAATTATGGGCATTAACTTACAATGCATTTTGAGAAACCACTCTGCTCTTCTGTCTTGGTAATATGCTTATCTAAACTCACTTCAGCTTTGAAAATAAATAACTTACTTTTTTAAATACAGAGGTTAATGGAAAGAAAGTGAGGAAGAAATTAATGGCTCCAGATATTAGCTTAACTTTGGATCACAGTGAGGAATCTGTTTTGTCTGATGATTTGGATGAGAGTGGAGAGATTGATTTGGACGATTTAGATACTCCTTCAGAAAACAGCAATGAGTTTGAATGGGAAGGTAAGTATTTTTTGTTACTTTTGTCTGCCCTAAAATATTTCTATTTTCTTATGTGCAGGTCAACAGTTTTTCAGGTGGGAAATAACAATGACTCAATATTACAAGAGGAAAAATATAAAGGAAGTGATTAGATTAGAAATTGGAAATAGGCACAGTGAATTTTTAAAGAGCAAATCAGACCTCCACTGATTAGTAAACAGGCAGCATAATAGCTGTAACTCCAAATAAACATAGGTGAATGTCATTAAACACCTGTAAGACTCGAGGTTATGGAAAATGCTCGCTGTTGCACTATGTTTTTAAGTACCAACCTGGAGAAAAAAAAATTATCAACGGTGTTCTACATGTATTAAAGATCAGTTTTAAATGGAGGTGAACCATAGAAAGGGATATAGATTATAGATTACCTAGTCAGAAATCGATGAATTGCAAGCCTTTGTATTTAAGGAGGACTGAATGGTATTTTTATTTTTTTATTCTAGAAATAAAATAAATTTAATTCCTGAGTAAACAGGAAGCTCTCTTTTCACTGTTACGTATGAAACACTACCTGTTCTTCATTCCAAGATAGCTTATAAATGGAGAAAGAAACACTCTTTAGAATATGGGATTTTTTTTAAATAGCTAAAGACATATTGCAGGTGAAGTTTTCATAATAGAGACTGTGGGTTTACCTGTGTAAAAGGATTTTCACCATTTTAGTGAAGAAGAATTGGTATTTAGGGTTAGTTTTACAATGATGCGAAGGAAATGTTCCAAATGTTTGTGCCTTGTTTTTAAAAGTGGCTGAAAAGGGTTTCTGTCTCTTCTTCCTTTAATGCTGCTGCCTTCATTTTCCTGGAAGGATAGTTTCAATTAACAGCTTTGTCTTGGGAACAGACAACTAACTTGCAGTAGGTTTTTCTCGCTTTGGGTAAGGTCTATGCAACAAAGTCAAGAATCATCATTTAATTGGAGCAAATTGTTTTACAGATTGCTGTCAGCATAAATTTCGTATCTATTGATTGCACACATGTGAATTAGATTTAATTTCTAATAGATTTGCCTGCATGTCTGCTTGCAAGGTACTGTCAATGTTTTAAATCATGCTTTTATGTAAATCTGTGATCAAGCAACCTGTGTAATTATCATTGGAGTTAACCACTTTGTCTATTTTGGTGAGATTCATCAAGATCTGTGTTCTGAAAGCCTACAATTAAATAGGCTTCCTACATGAATGGAAATTTGTCATGTACTTCAGCATAGAAAACTACAGGCAATGGATAACTGCCAACATAGAGTATTTTGATAAAATATACATGTATGACACCCGTGAGGTCCTATTTTGTAATGACTGAAGGAACTAAGGCAGCTGATACGTCTGACTGGCTAAAGAATATTAAAATAGATTAGATAGCAAAGTGGTTAACCGGTGGTATAATTGATTGTCACTATACATAGTATTCATAAGGGATCTTGAACATGTTTTAATTTTGGCAGATGATCTTCCAAAACCAAAAACTACTGATGTAATTAGGAAGGGATCACTTACTGAATACACTGCGGCAGAGGAGAAAGATGATGGTCGACGCTGGCGAATGTTTAGGATTGGAGAACAGGACCATAGGGTGGACATGAAGGCAATTGAACCATACAAAAAAGTTATCAGTCATGGTGGTAAGGATTAGTGATGTGCTGAGGGGAACTGTTGAGAAACTACTTCTTTAAGCTGAGCTGGGGTGGCACAGGAAGAGCTTTAGGCATAAAGACTCGTGATGATTCATTTGTTGCAGTATTAAGGCATATGGTTGATTTAATATTTTTTCCCTATTAAACTAAAGTTTCAAAATGTACACATGTTCAGATGAAGCTACTGACATGCACATATGTAATACGATGTACTTATTTGTTCTACAGTGTCAGCGCTACCAGTATAGTTTTTTGGTTTTAAGAGTGTTGAAAGCATTAACTGTAGATCTAACAAGGCATAAATTAATTAATGACTCTTCCCAACAGTCTGTGGAGTTAAGGTTGGAAAAAAAGTTGACCATATAAAATGTTATTAAATATACTGAAATTCTATACTGAGATGTTGATTGTAGGTACAGCATTTGATTTACATTCACTTCAGCTATTTCTTTAGAAGTAGACAAACTTGAAAAAAATCTTGAGGTTTTCTGTAACTGTATGAATCCGTCTGTATAGAATAGATGTTTGTAAATCTCTTTAAGGTAAATAATGAAAAAGCTTACTGAATGTGCTTGACTTTGTGTAAATGTAGTCAGTGTGTAGTCACCTTTGTCACTACTGCTGCTTTTTTCTTTGTTTTTAGGTTATTATGGTGATGGGTTAAATGCCATTGTTGTGTTTGCTGTTTGCTTTATGCCTGAAAGCAGCCAGCCTAACTACAGATACCTAATGGACAATCTATTTAAGTAAGTCATCATCTGCCTCTGAATACTGTCCTAATTTCACATTGTGAAACTTAGCATTTTAATGTAAGGGCAATTACTTCTTTCTCTTTTTTAATGAAGCTTTTTATATTTCTGATGAGGGAAAGGTAACATAGAAAAGCAACTACATCTGCTTCCAGGGGAAGGAAAAAAATTATTAGATGTTGCTCAACACTGTTGCCAACTTTATATTTTTTAAATATATTTGAGAGCCACTAGGAATTACTTTACTATCCACAGATCTTCAGTTGAAAGTTTTTTTGCTTGTCTCTGCAGGTACGTAATTGGCACTTTAGAGCTGTTAGTAGCAGAGAACTATATGATAGTTTACCTGAATGGTGCAACAACACGGAGAAAAATGCCAAGTTTAGGCTGGCTTAGGAAATGTTACCAGCAAATTGATAGAAGGTAAGAAGCTCTGCAGTGTTTTCTTTTACTGAGCGTGTGAATATTGTCATACATGTTTAGGAAAAACTGCTGTTTAATGTGGTGTCTGGTACTGACTGATCAAGATTTAATTAAGCAAATTAGTGTATTGAAAACCTCTTCCCAAGCTAGACAAAGTGGGATAGTGCTACAGGCATGCCTGGCTTTTTGTTGTTTGTTTTTTGTTGTGAAAATAGACCCATAGACTAGTTTGGGTTGGAAGGGACCTCTAAAGGTCATCTAGTTCAACCCCCCTGCCGTGGGTGGGGACATCTTCAACTAGAGCAGGTTGCTCAGATATAATAGTAGTGTTAGGATACTGAATACTGTTACCATATAGAATATCCTTAAAACTTCATGTATTAATATGATAAAGTAATAAGGGAGGTCCTTCGTGAACCACTTCATCATTAATTGTGTAAAAAGATTCAAAGAATCTTCTTTCTGGAATGTTATTTCCTTGTCATTATTGTCAAACTGATACTACATCTTAAATTTTGACTATACAGTTGTGTGGTATTTTTTTCTTCGAGCAGATGGTAACTTCTAATAATGGAATGTCAGAATACTAGATTTATGCGACAGTTGTATTTGCAAAAACATACTTTTTATATATTAAAAAAAACCTTGTTGTCATGCAGCCTTTTTGTTCTAGTAATTTTGTCTGCTGTTTGAATTCTTCAGGTTAAGGAAAAATCTGAAATCATTAATCATAGTTCATCCGTCTTGGTTCATCAGAACACTTCTGGCCATCACAAAACCTTTTATTAGGTAATACTCCGGAAGCTATTTCTTTTTATTAAAAAAAAAAAAAAATCCTAACAACTATTTACTTTAAAGTTCAAACACTGTTTTAATATTGACCTACTGAAAATATTTTAAGTTGTAACCGTACCCTGCATTTGTTCTTCCACAGCTCAAAATTCAGCCAGAAAATCAGGTATGTCTTTACCCTGGCAGAACTAGCTGAACTCATCCCCATGGAATACGTTGGCATCCCAGAATGCATAAAACAGTACGTTTTATTATTCAAACATGTTCTACACTGATCATGTTTTAGAACTGGTATATATTGTATTCAATGATTGGTTTGAATGTAATACTATGTATTTAAAATTTAACTTAACTCGGATCATTGCTATCTCTAGGAGGAGTACCCATGTCTGACCACATTGCTAACTACAGTTTGGTATGCAGTAGCATGGATAGTCAAAATGTTAATGTATAGGGATTTTCAGATAGTGCCTTACGTGATTACCAAGTTATGGTGTGTCAATTAGTCTTCAGAGACAAGGCCTCATTCCAGTTGTTCTACCCCTTAGTATGCTGAACGGGCTTGTGAGTGAGAAACTCTGGGCAAGCTGATACTGAAGTTATTTATAGTATCTTCAGTATTCATGCTAAAATGTGGAACAAGTGGTGAAATATCACTTGGATTGGGATTTCATTAAAAGAAGAGCTGTGGTGGAAAAAAGCTGAATCCCTACCCATAACAGTTCTAAAACTACTTTGAAGAGGTGAAGGTGGCATCAGTGTCCTTGGTTTTCTCCTCTTCCTTCCCTCCAGATAGAAATACTCATTTTAACGTCAGCACAACTCTGTTCTCAAATATGATGATGATACTTTTGTCAATAGCATTTGTGGGTGCTATAATAGAGTAGAAACCATAAACTTGGGTCTTAAAAAGGGCAGATGAAAATACTAACGATTGTGATGATAAATTGATGAGCCTATTAGAGGGTATAACGTACAAAACCTATAGAGTATGCATCACAATACGTGATCACAGACTGGGAGCTCCGTAAGGAAAGATGGCATAGTCTCACTGTGTGGACAGAGGGGCACATCCATGTTGGACAAATCCGCAAATCACTCCCCAACCCCTGCAAATGGCTGGTTATTGCAGTAAACATTCAGCTGGTATCAGCTGCACAATTTAACTTTTTATAAAATAGAGAAAACACAGTTTTCTTGGGGTGGGGAGGAAAAACATGACAACACATGACAGCAGCCTTGTGCTATCTTTGGAATATTTTTTTAACTGGGGTTTTTGAAGGATGTGTTATGAATATTCAGACTGTCATTCCAAGTCTTGAAAGAGACTCCTTTCTGTATTGATGAACCTTTAACTGTCCTCCAAAGGCTGAACTCGGTTGACTCATGGAATTAATTCTCAGACTTCGGTGCAGGATTATATCTGGCTTCAAACTGTTATGAATACAGACTTTAAATTTTAGTGATGGATGTTAATACCATACAAGAAGTTGTACTGAATTCATGTTATGTCATAGTAACTAAATCTTAATGCTTCTTGTTTAATGCTTATAAATGCTGGAGGTACAATATATTTTTTTCTTAATTATATCAGTTTCAAAACTTGGTATGTTTTTACAAACTGTATTGACACTATAATACCAGTTTGCAGCTTGTGTTGAATTTGGCCTTCGTATGTTATGTTTACTGAAATCAAACTTTTCCTCACCAAGGTATGAAGAAGAAAAGTTTAGAAAGAAACAGAAAAGGTATATTCATATTTTGATTAGGGTTGCATCTAGATAAGATGATTTGCACTGCAACTAACTCCCAGTTGATTGGCTTGCATAAAGGAATAAGCATTTGTAAATATAAACATGCACTAGTGACTAAGTTTTTAATGCATGAAAGTAACTATACTGCCTGCAAGTACAGTATATAATCTAAAATAACTCACCCTGGACGTTCAAACAGATATCTGTGAATAGTCTCCATTACTTTCTTACATGAGATGCTCACTTTTAAGGGGATACATGGATTCTCAACTGAATCTTCAAGAGGCAAAGGTAGTGCTTCCGTATAAATCAATTAAATCAAGTTTCACTGTTTCTAACAAGTGTCGTCTGAAGGAAGAGCTGTTTTTAGGTGCTAAGTTGAAGCTATGCATCAGCGGAGATGCAACTCTGGAAGAAGTTCTAGTACTGAATCTTGCATTTTGTATTTTTGGTATTCACTACCTTTTTAGTTATTAACGTGCACAGATGCAATCTAAATTAGTATGTTTAGTGCTGTTTGTATTTGCAGTGCCTATGTTCCTTGCTAATAAACACTGGATTTTCATTTTGTTAATTTTCAGTCTCCTGCTAACTATTCAAGCTATTCCAGCAGCTGATGAAATTTTTTGAATGGATCCGTTATTTTTTTTCACTCTATCACTAACAAATGTTCTGAAAGGTTTTGCTACTAACTTGCTTTCTTTCAATTACTCTTCCTGTGTGTGTGCATAACTAGAGGGTTATTGTCTAAATTAGGTAATGGATATAGAGAGGAACACTGAGAGGTTAAAATAAAAAGAATTTAAATTCTTTCTGAAGGCTAGCAGGTAAAGCTAGTGACAAGTGTTGATCATTCTCTAAGAATTACTCCAATTAAGTGGTAATCTTGCAGTGTGTAACCTGAAGTACTAAGCCTGTCAAATTTAAGAAACCCTTTCAGTACATATTGAACAACAGTTCTGCTTGATTTTTTTTTCCCCAGCGTGCATAATTTGACCCAATTCTATTGCAAGGCCCATTGTATTCAGGATGCAAACCTGAGACATTCAAACAGTAATGTAGAAAGTTTTAAAAATCTCCAGTACAACAAGCACTTTTTAGTGTCCCTGTCAATATGACTTACAGTACCATCACTTTTGTAAAAAGTAGTATGTTCCTAAGTAAAACTTATGTATAGAGGAGAGATCAGAGGCACTATTTGATGCTGAGACTTTAATCAGGTTGAAAGCAGTTGTAGGCATTATTTATTATAATAGGAGGAAAGGAGATGTGTTGAAGTTTAGTTACTAAATTTGTTGAGGATGGCAGTAGGAATTCTTTGGCTGTGTGTGAGTCACTTTGGAAGGTAGAATATGATACAATTCTATGGATTTGTATTGTCAGCTGTTTGTTTATGCATAGCTTGTTTGCATTAGCTTACCATATTTTCTTATACTTTCTGTGATTAGTCCTATAAGTCATGTCAAAACCTGCTTTCCTAAGATACTGCAGTGAGGACAGGGATGAGTTGCAGCTGCACACTGTGCAGGTGAACAGGTAGTTGCCTAGGACTGTTGCTTTTAGACAACACTGCTCCAGACCTATTGGATCCTTATGTACTTAGGTTCAGTTCTTACAGCTGAAAAAAAAAACCCAAACCCGAAAACAACTTGCCTCCCCTTTTTGTGGGTTCATGGCCTAGAAGAGCTGTCATTGATTTTATAATTTTGAAAAACTGGCTGGTTATAGTTTGAGAGACTGGACAGGTAGGTTAGACAATTAGGTTGTTAGAAGACAAACTTGGCCTTAGCCTCTCTCACTTCGGAACTACTGTTGATTTTAAAATTAATTTACCTCCATGAACAAATTATTTTCCAGAAGATATAGTTAAGACTGTAGCTTGTTCTTACTGTAAAGAGGAAAAGTACATCTCATGCAGGACTGTCAGCCATCCACTGGTTTCTGCAAAGCAACATTTTGTTTGCAGATATAAAAGAAACCAAACAACAAAACAACCAAACACCACAAACAAATAAAAAACAGTTCTAGCAGCATGATGGTGAATTTTTCTTGGGTAATTACAAGAGTCTTAGAACTTAATAGAAAAAGTACTGCAGTTAAGGAGCCACTTAACTTTTGATTCAACTACTGCTGTTACCTTCTTGGCTTAATTAGTATAACATTAAAGGTAATCTTGTGCTTATTCTGCAGTGTATGAATTCATCAAAGTAGTAGTGCTTGATGGTATTGTCATGTGACCTGTAAACTTGTATTCCTGCTTGCATTCATTTAATAAAAGCACAGAACCTGCTTTTTTTCTTCTGTAGTCAAACTTCACTTGCACTTTTCATATGCTTTCTTTCGAATGCTATAGTTATTTAAATGGTTTCTTAATAATTTTGATTAATTTCTAGGGGGAGGTAGGAAAATAGATACTTGTTTTTAAAAGAGCGTTGTTGTGACTGCATTCAATAAAAAAATTAATATTTATTTACTAAAACTTCATGTAAAAACTTTGTGTTTTCCTGTAAAGTTTAATAGGTTTTGCTTAATATATGAGCTATCACACTAAACTACTTCTTAACATAGTTTTAATTTTATTGCTTTCTTTGCTAAGCAGAGTTGACCAAGAGCTGAATGGAAAACAAGAGCAGAAAAGTGAACAGTAAGTTTGGAGTCCAAACAAGACTGAAGAATATGCAGATGGAATGATGCTATTTTTGCTCCATTTACAATGCATTCTCTGTGTGTGTATATATTATATAACCTGTTGCAAAAGGTGCTTAATTTCTTTGGTCTAGCACCCAGTGGACTGCTTACTGCTGTACTGGTTTTTCTTGACTTTAATAGCTATGTTTATGTAATCATTTTATACTGCTAAATGTCAAAGAACCCTATGTTTTCAGAGGATCTTCTTGCAATTGTTTATCTAAATGATGCATGTTCTTCAGTAAAATATTTATATACCTAAATATTAAAGGAAAGAGATAATATATATTTTTATGACTGAGCAAAATATTGTGCGTACCTGCTGAAGGAATTCATTTGCAGGTAGACAAGGCCGTAAGTTACTTGTTGTTATTGTATAAATCTGTTTTGCTGTAAATGGTCAAGTGCATTTCTTTGTTGTCACAGAAACCTTAATTTGTTTGGATATTAACAATCACATAATGTAGTCTTTCACAAGTATGCAGATCCTTATTTTTGTTCACATACCTAATATAAGCAGTACTCATTTACCTCACTAGAGTGAGCTTGAGCTTTGGTGGTTTAGTCCACCATTTTCCGAATGCAGAACTGCAGTTCTGTGAACTTCAGTCTGTTGGCCAAAGGGTTTAAGCCTAAGCCGCAATAGAAGCTGAACTGTTTGAATGACTAGTAAGATAGCAGACCTTTCTCAATTTAAGTTGCAAATTTAGATTCTGCTTCAGTAAGTCAAGGCTATCTCAGCTACCAGTAGGAAATGAGTTCATTGTGGTTCTTCCTGGATGAATATCGGTTGTCACCAGTAGGAACTCTGGTCATACTCAGTAGAGCTTGGGAGTTACGTGGATATTCTAGCCATAATATCAATTGTTTGCAGAGGTATGGGGAGTCTTACACTACCTGTGTCAGCCTTTTACATGAAACATCCATTCCTAAAGCTTAGTTTGGCACATACCAGCACTAACTTCACTTGACAAAAAAAAAGTGATTTAAAGGTTGGGGTTTTTTTCTCTCCACAATGGTAGTAAACTTGTGTCTGTAAGAGGTGTTCTTGGACACATAACTAGTGTTTATATGTTTATTAGGGCAACAATAATGCACTGGTTGATATGTTGTAAAAGTTTGTAACATCTTTTGATAATCGTTGCTATTTCCCTGTAAGGACAGGTGCATGCAAATAAATCCATTCAGGAGTTGAGCAGTATAATATTGTAGCAAATATATTTAATCTTCACTTTTGGTTTTTATTGAGCTCACACTTTTGTCTTAATGCCAAAAATATCAGTTCTCAATTATATTGAAAGTTAGTGTTATACAGTTCTTTATTGAAAAAAAAAAAAGGTTGCGTTCAACTAGATTACTACCTGACACTGATAAAGAGCAGTCAAGAGAAAATTCTGTGGTCAAGACTTACTACCAATTAACAATGAATCTGTCTCTAATGATACGTGTATAGACTCTGAGAGCGTGTTCATGTCACGGTAAATTGGACACTTAGAGCCTGTTTACTTCCGATACTTTCACAGTGCGGTGTGTATGAACGTGCAAACCTGTAAACCTTCCTGATTTTTACTGATTCTGTGTGGGTCCTAAGCTAGATACTAAGTATTCTGATCATCTCATTTCAAATTTTTCCTAATGAAAAAAAAAAGTATTTTTCTCAGTAGAATCCTATTCTTAGTGGAAGGATTGTAGTCCTATATGTCTTGTTGCTTCCTATGTGTATAGTGCAGTATAGAGTAGCAGGTCCTCTGTATAGGCTGCATTATCAAATGATGGGATTGTTATTGTTGTCTTTCCTGGTGGCTGAGTGATTCTACAGTTTCATGCTGCAGTAGTACTATTTTTTGGAAATGTGTATGTGCTTACCTAATGGTTTATTTCTCTGGTGTCGGTTTTTGTGTGTGAATATACAGCACAACAGTTCTTCTGTCCCTGAGAAGAACATGCAGCTTGAGAAACAGGTGTGCTAAAGAATTATTCCTCTCTGACCTTTTGCAGCTCATCGTTTAATGGTGAGATGGATGTTTACAAAAAACGATAGAAGTCCCAAAGTTATCTTGAACACAAATGGGTAACTTCTTGTCAAACTTATCTTTTTTAAATCTATAAAATAACTTAATATATTTTAATATTTAAAAACATGAAAAGTTTGGAATGTCATACTTTAATAAAAGTTATTTCAAAAGCTGAATCACTTTGTGATAAGATACAGTATTGTAGGGAATTCACCTTTCAGTGGCACTTCCTTCTAAAAGTAAAACTCATGTTGCTAGAATACAGTTTGAGTCCTGTCAAGAAAAGATGATTTCATGAGTCACTGATTTACCTTTGATTTGGAAGTCTCATTAGTTTATTTTTATATATATATGCGGTAATAAGTTGTCAGTTATCTTCTGTTGTTACTGGGTGCAACTGAAATAGAGATGTTTGGGCCAGTGGCCTGTCTGTGTGTGGATGTGACATTTTGTAAATTGATTTCTACAACAGGATAAGTGTTCAGAAGTGGCAAAGGTATTTTGGAGAAAGCGCCATTAAAAACTGATGTGAGTAGACTCTAGATTGCTTGAATGTTCTTGTCGTTCTGTGTAGCATGGCAAAGCCATGTTCTGTTGGAAAGTAATGGAGAGGGATATATAAGGATTTAGTGCTGAAGCAGATTGAAGTCTTTGAGGTTCTGGGATGTTAAAATGGAGAAATTTTTGTTCCAAAAAGCTTAGAACTAGTTAGAATAATATGTAACCTTGTTCATAACAATGCAGTTTAGTGCTTTTTTTTCTTATTTTCAGTGAAGAATAGTACTTCTTGCTGTGAGGAACTTTGTACTGAGAAGCAGTAGTTATATTCCAAATTGCACACAATTAGTATATCGCCTGTATTTGTTAGCATGTTTCAGCAGGTTTGCATCATACACTTAAACGCTCTAATGACAGCTTAAAACCTTTCAACAGTTGATTTGTGTCAGACTTCAAGATTAGATCACGTGTTGGTGGTAAATGGAATTGTTTATGAAATCACCTCGAAGTGTGTCATGGGGAGGAGAGGGTGGCACTGGTGCCTAGTCATATGTCAGCTTCACTGATGTCATCTACTGAAATGTCTGTGGTTAACAGAAAATGATGGAACTATATTGTGAATGGGCACTTTCTAAACTAAATCTGTCACAAATAAGTTTCTTGGTGAAAAGTGTATTTCTTCCAGTGTGAAATTTTTGTGTATCCTATGGATTTATACAGTATTTATTATGTAGAAAGATGGCTTAAATGCATCTCTTATCAAAAGCTGCTGTCTTTGGAGATGACTTTAATTCTCAAATCATTCCAGTCTCCCTCAGAAAAGTCTCAGACGAGGAATGGAGGGGAGAGGGATAATAGCTTGTGTGCTTTTTGTAACCAAGAAGTCTTGCAAAGCTTTCAGTGAAAATTCTTACTCAGTCCTTGTGGATGCAGGTCATTCTCTAGAGGATTTGTTTCACTGACTGGTTGTCAGAGACGCTTTAAATAAGTGCTTTAATTATACTTTCACTCTGAAATATAAGGAATATTTAAATATTCATATTCTGAAAGACAGATTTTGCAGCTTTCCTAGCTTCAGAATTGTAAGTTCAACTACATTGTTTCCCTTATCACATCTTGTTCCCTATGTTGAGCTAACGGGGAAAAAGGGCATTTGTGAAGTGAAGAGGGTGCAGTCATGTTACAGTTTTTCATCATTCCCTTCAAGCATGACTGAGATCAGTGAAATTAAAGCCATTCTTTGCTCAGCTAGATCTTTTTTCAGTTTTTCAATTTGGACTGCCCAGATTACTCTGATTTAAATGTACCGATTCTCCCCCCCCCCCAGCATTGAAAATGATCTAATCTCCAGTAGCTACTGGAGTGTAGCTACTGGATAAAGTAGATACACTTCATCTACTTTATCTTACTTTTAAAGTAAGATATCGTACTTTTAAAGTAAGATAAAGTCAAGTCCTTATCTTACCACGCTCTTTACTCTAGCTTGCTCAGCTGCTAGTTAATGTTTATGACATGGAATTCTACATTAATAATTAAAAAAAAAAATCATGGAAGAGAGATGCTTACTTTCCCAGTGGCTCTGCAGTTCTGCCGTGTTTCTTAGTCATCTGAACAAAGCCTTTTTCTTTAAAAAGAAAAGCCCGAGTAGTAGGGTGCTCTACCAGTTGAATGGTGGATAGAAGGGTTGAAGACGTTGTCTGTTAGTATCAGTAAACTTTAATACATGTGATATGGGAAATGTGCAGTGTTTAAGAAAGTGAAGCTGCAGTAGTCATGCAAAAACAGGTTGTGAATCAGATGATATAACTGGCTTAAGTGGACTATTAATATTCTTCACAGATGTGACTATTTTCATTTGGCCCTTTAATATAAAACTATGTAAGTACAAGACTCTTCACCTACCTCTTAAGAATGTTATGATCCTTTTCAAATGAGCTTCTGTTTTCTGTTTGTGTTTCAAGGTGTCATGGAGTAATGTGATAAACACATTTCTGAATGTGCTAGCTATTAATACTTACGGGAAACTTTTTAATTAGGAAATAAATAAATGCTATATGCAATAATGCCCTTGGAAAAGGTCTGAATATTTTATTTTACTGCTTAGGAATGTATTGATAATATGAGTCTTTTGTGATTGTATGCTACCACCACCTCCCTCTCAAAAATACGACATTTAAATTTGGTTCCCAAAGCATTGTAGGTGCCAGTTCACTAGTTGCCCTGAAATTTGGCAATTATTCTGAAGATAGTTTGAGAGTTGAATATTTCAAAGGCTTTTGGCAGTTGGCACGGGTTAGAGTATAGTACTAGAGGAAACGGGTTTAAGCTCTTAGCTTAAGGAGGGCACGGGTTTCAGCCGCTTCAATAGGTGAAATAAACCTAAGCCCGGAACTACAGACACGTCAACTCTTCGTCATTACATAATTATAAAGAGCGAACCCTAACCCCTTGCAGCACCCGCCCGCTGTTGAACGCGTGCGGTGGGGGCTGCGCCGGGGAGAGCCGTG